GCCCCTCCCCGCGTCCCGGACCCGGCCGGGGTTGCTAGGCAACGGATAAACTCCGCTTCCCAGAGCCGTTTGAGGAGCGCCGGAGCCAGGGCCCCAGCGCCGGCCCTTCCCCTTCTGTCCCGCGGCCGTAGCAGCGACCCCAGGGTAAGGGGAGGGGGTGGGGAGCAGAAGAGGAGGGAGCAGAGTCAGGCGAGGGCCGCCATCGCCGGCGGCGCCCAGAACGCCCTGAGGGAAGGATGCCAAGGGCACCTTTCTCAAGTCTCAGACCCTGCAGGCACCGAACCACTCCCCACCCGTACAGGCGGGCTGCAAGAGACCCCCAAGGGCCCTCAGTGGAATGGGGGCTGAGTGGTGGGCCAGGGGCCTGTTAGAGTTTTGTAAACGAACGAGATCAAGCACACCACTGTATTAATGATTAACGCCTTTATTAAACAGCTGGGCCCAGAGCAGGCGAGCGCCTGGAAACCTCTGGATCCCGATGTTGGAGGGAACAGCACTAATTCAAGGTCTTGCAAGATAGTGTCCATTTCCTGCTAGCCGGAGGCATCTCGGAAAAATCAAGGTCTTGTTAGGAGCCGAAGGGGAGGAGGAGCTCACAGCTCGCAGGGGTTAAAGGCAGTTTGAAACAAGATGGCCTCGCTCATGTTAAGGCATGGACACAATAAACCTTTACTCATCATTACTGAGCACCCGCCAGGTGGCAGGCACTTTGCATGCATCGTTTAGTTGGTACGCCCACGCGGAGGGCACCTTGAGCCCATTATACAGGCGAGTATCACATGCTCAACCGTGGGCCGGCGGACGGTGGTGAGCTGGCGCAGGACCCGGCAGTGCTGCCTTCCGTAGTGCCTGGGGTCGCTGTGGACCCTGGCTGTGATAGCAATCACGCTCATGGCCACAGCACGCACCCAGCAGGCGGTCCTTCGCTCCGCAAGCTCAAGGTGCCCTGGCGCTGGCAGGTGCCTTAACCTAGGTTTCAGACCCCACCCTTACCCGTGACCCTTTGGGACCCTTGGGCTCGCCTTTTCACACTGCAAGAGAAGGAGGAGCCATGCTCCCTCCAGAGCTTTGAAGGAGAGCCTGGTACAGGGGTGGGGGGGTGAGGGGGTCACAGCTAGGGTCTCAGCAGGTGACAAAGTGAGTATTGGGACCCCTCTTCATGCCGAGGCACTGAGGACAGAGGGAAAAAGAGGCCACAGCCTCTCTCTCAGGGACACAACATTACCTCTAGAAGACGGTCATCCTTGTATTTATGTCCCCTCCACCTGGAGGGGGCCTTCTCCCACTCTCTCCTGTCCACAGCTTCCACCTGCCTGGTTGATCCCCCTGTACCTCTTTAGTTCTGGGTGGCTCCTCCCAGGTCTCCCTTCATCTTCTCCCTTCCTGGTGGGGACCACCCCAGGGGGACCGCAATATTATTAGCATTAACCTAGCAGAACACACAGGAGGGTCAGCGGGTGGGGGAAAGACAGACATCCCTAGGGAAGGCGACTTGCTTCTAGGCAGAACTCCAAGACCAGACTCCCTGTTGGGGAGTCGATAAAGACTCTAAGCAACCCTTAGGACAGAGTAGAACTGCCCCTGTGCGTTCCTGAGCTCTTTGTGGAAGTAGGAAGTCCCATCTTTCTGCCTCAGAGGGATTTTTTCCAATAGAAATAGAAATGTTTCCCCAAATGCCTACTGCCTTGGAGTCTGGCTGGTGGGGACACCCGAGGACCCATTAGAACTGTCCCAGGGGGGTTCTGAGCAGATAGCCCCATCTTTCTCGGAACTGCTGGTCTAAGGGTTTGAAGTCCATCCCAGCACTTAACCCCTGTGTTGCCAGGCTCCCAGGATTCCAGAGGGTGCTGATGGGTGTCTGGAGCAGACAGGAAACCCTTCCTCTGGCCCTCTTCCTTGTGACTCCCCCAGGGACAAGCAAGGAGGGGAAGTTTGTCTCTTAGGGAGTCCCGTGGGAAGGGCATGGGATGGTCCTCCTGCAGGCTCCCACCCCGCTCCGACCCTCGCTGCTGGGAAAACCTGCTTTCTCTTAAGCCCTAGAGCTTCTTCCCAGGAATCATTCCAGAAGAACAAGAGCAGTTTTGTTTTATCCTTCCAACTGCCCCCAGGGCAGGGGGTGGGGGCTCAGCAGAGGGCTGCTTTGTTGTTGATGCTGGCCCCAGCCTGGTTGGGTTGGTGTGTCCCAGTTTAGACTCATGTCTCTGCTTCTGAGGTTCCCACGGTGGGTAGAAGCTCCGCCCGCCCCCCTTACCCCATCCCTCACCTCCCTCATGGCCCCCTGCACAGACCGCTCCCTTCGGGCACTGCTTGGAACCCCGTGATGATTGTCTCATGGAGGGGGCAGTCCATGTCCTGAGACCGCCCCCCCCTCCATGCTGCCCTCGCCATTCATCTTGGTGCCCTTAGCGGCTGAGACTGAGCCTGCTTGGGTCCTTGGGTGAGCTGTCCTGTCACCCAGCCTGCTGGTAAATGCCCTCTCTGTCTGCCCCCCGACAGACACACAATGCCTCTGCCCTGCCCCCACTGGGCCGAGGGAAGCTCCCAGGAACCCTGGCAGCATCGTGGTTAAGCATTAGGCTGCTAACTGCAAGGTCAGCAGTTCGAAACCACCAGCCTCTTCGCAGGAGACGGGCCAGGCTTTTTACTCCTACAAAGAGTTACAATCTCAGAAACCCCCAGGGGCAGGTCTACCCTGCTCTGTAGGGTCTGGATGAGTCTGCATCAACTCCATGACAACGAGTCTGGATTTGGTTCAGAGGCCCTCATCTGCCGGAACCCCTGTTAGCATAATGCTTAAGCATGAGGCGACTAACTGCAAAGTTAGCGGTTCAAAACCAGCAGCCGCTCCACAGAAGAAAGGGCTTTCTACTCCCGTGCAGAGTTACCGTCTTAGAAACTCCCAAGGGCAGTTCTATAGAGGTGGCATGGACTGGATGGCAGTGAGTTTAGGCCCCGCCCCAGACCTCAGATCCACATTGACAGAGGTGGGCCTGGGAATCTGTATCTTTGGAAAGAGCACCTTGGATTTGAGAAACACCTGCTGAGGGAGTAAGAGCTCCACGCCCCACCCCATACGACATCAGTGGTTCTCGACCTTGGCTTCACCTTGGAATTTCCCGGGGACTACACAGGTCGTTGTGGAGAGATGCTGATGGAGCTGGTCTGGGCTTCATCCTGGGGGTCGTGCATTGTCAAAGCTGCCAGGTGTTTCTGAAAGTGTGACCACGGTGAGGAACCTCCGCTCCATAGCCAGGTGGGCCTGCGTCTTGGCCCTGCCTGGACTTGACAGCTGTGACCTTGGACTAGTTATTCAATCTCTCTGGGCATCCGTTTCATCATTTGTGAAATGGGAAGAGCATTAACCACCTGAAGGATTGTAAGCAATGAGCGCATGCTCAGAAATGCCTGTTCACCTCGCCTGCAGCAGCGTCGTCATCATAGTTGTTGTTGAGTGCCGGTGAGTCAACCCCAACTCACAGCAACCGGATGTACAACAGAATAAAACACCACCCCATTCTGCATCCTCCTCAAATTGTTCTTCTGTTTGAGCCCATCGTTACAGCCACCGTGTCGATCCATCTTGTGGAGGGTCTTTTTCTCTCTGCTCCTCCACTGTACCAAGCTTGATGGCCTTCTCCAGGGACTGGTCTCTCCTGAGAACATGTCCAAAGTACGTGAGACCGAGTCTCGCCATCCTAGCCTTCAAGGGACATTCCGGCTGTGCTTCTTCCAAGATGGACCAGGTTCGTTCTTTGGGCGGTCCGAGGTCCTTTCAATATCCCTCGCAAGCACCACCTATGTGCTTACATCGATTCTTCTCTGGTCGTCCTTACTCAAGGTCCAGTTTTCACAGGTACGGGAGGCGATGGCAACTGCCCACGGCGTGGGCCAGGTGCACCCGAGTTCTCAAAGCGACCTCCTTGCTCTTCAACACTGTAAAGAGGTCTTGTGCCCAATTCAGTGCGTCCTTTGATCTCCTGACTGCTGCTTCTGTGAGCATTGACTGTGGATTCAAGCAAGAGGGAAGCCTTGACCATCTTTTCTCCACTTACCACGATGATGTTACCAAGGAACCGGTCATGCGGATTTTGACCTTCCTGCTGAGTTGTGATCCATCCTGAAGGCTGCAATGCTCGATCTCGTTAGCAAGTGCTTCAAGACCTCCTCACTTTCAGTGAGCAGGGTTGTGTCATGCAGATTGTTAATAAGCTTCCTCCCATCCTGAGGCCGAATTCTCCTTCCCTCGTCCACTCACTGCCATCGGGTGGATGCTGACTCACAGCAGCCTTTAGGACAGGGTAGAACTGCCCCTGTGGGTTTCCGAGACTGCAGCTCTCTCCCGGAATAGAAAGCCCCCTCTCTTTCCTTCGGAGTGGTGAGTGGTTTCAAACTGCTGACCTTGTGGTTAGCAGCCAGCACATCTCCAGCCCCCTGCTCCCCCAGTTACATGTGTCTGCTAGGTTGGATCCACCAGGCTCCATCTTCTACATAGAGCGTGGCAAAAACATTTTCCATAAGCCCAGCGGACATAGTGTTGCATCTACAAGGATAACATTCTATGCCCGATTCTTTTCCCAGCCTTCTAAGGGAGCCCGGGGGCCTGGTGCGTTACGCTTCCAGCGGTTCAAACCCACCAGTTCCAGCCTCGGGACTGCAGAGTGATGGGCAGCCTTGGAAATCCTGGGGGTCACTGCTACTCTGTCCTACTAGGTCACTAGGAGTGGCCATCGACTCGATGCCCATGGGTTTGCTTTTGGGTGTGCCCATGAGAACCGAATGTGTCGTCTCAAAGCTCTGCAGGCTTGGGGCGGCCCAACGTCAGGGTGTCAGCAGGACCTTCCTTACCTCAGAAGGCGAGGAGAAGCTCCTTGGTGGTCCTGGGCTTGCTGTGACAGCTTAAATCCACTGTGTGTGTCTCTTCTCTTTTAAAAGGACACCACTCTTGCTAGGTTAGGATCCACCACTACTCCCTCCCCACACGCACCTCCTACGACTGCAGTCGGGCCTTGAGTTAGCAGAGAACATCTTCTAAGAACCGGTTCACTGGTCCCGGGGATGGGGCTTCAACACATCCTTCTTGGATTGGGGTCCTGGGGACACTCCCAGACGGGGCCCTGCCTGCCTCCTGCCCTCTGTCCCCCAGCAGACAGCATGGAGATCGTGTACGTGTACCTGAAGAAGCGGAGCGAGTTCGGGAAGCAGTGTAACTTCTCCGACCGCCAGGCTGAGCTCACCATCGACATCCAGCCCAACCCGGAGCTGGCCGAGCAGTTCGTGGAGCGGAACCCCGTGGACCTGGGCATCCAGTGCTCCACCTGCATGTCGGAGCATGAGGTGGGACCCTGCCCAGGCTGGCGGGCAGCGGGCGCGGCGAGGGACTCAGCTCTCCCTTCCCACCTCACCCCGCGAGTTCTGTTGGACACTGGGCACAGCCCCCAGAGGCATGCTCAGGGAACGGGGGTCCCGAGCTAGCAGGCCACTTGTGAAAAGGAAAGCATCTTTTAGAAACTTCCAGCCTGAAGGACCTTTGGGGGCAAGCGCCATGAGGGTGGTGTGGAGGTCCAGGTTCGTGGGATCGGCTCCGGGTTGGTTGAGATCAGCCCTGAGACACGTCCAAATCAACAGGGCGGAATATCGCCCTCAGTGGTCCCTACCTGACATGCCACAGTCAGGCTGGTGCGCTGTGCCCGCCCCTGAGAGAGCTGGCCTCACTTTCCCAGAACACCTGTGCCCTTGGGGTAGCCTCCTGTAATCAGACGGCTGTCACGAGGCTGCGCCGGAGGGTGCCTGTTTGTCCTGCCTGCCACTCCCACCTGTGGACACAGTTCACTTTTGTGAAAGCGAACTTACACACGGAAAGGGCTCAAACCACCTGGCCATCCTCCCGCCAGGGCAAGCCCACGGCAAAGGGAGTCCAAATTCATCATCAGATCTCCTCCTCCTCTTCCTCCTCCATCTCCTTTTCCTCTTCCTCCTCCTTTTTCTACTGGGGTAAGAAGAAATATAATGAAGCATTTTCCAGCTCACCCCTTCCCACAGGTGTAACCCAGTGACCTTGACCGTGTTTATCCTGTTGTGTAGCCGCCACCACCAGTGAGTCCACCCCACTCACAGGCGTCCCTGTGCGTCCCTGTCTGCTGTGAAGGCCAGGGAGGACAAGGGCATCCACACCCTTCCCCTGGGCTCTCACAGGACAGGCAGCTGGTCTCCTTAGCTTCATTAAGCCTCAGAACAGACCAGAACCAGGTTTTCTATGGCAACTAGCATCAGGTACCATGTGGCCAACTCCCCAGGTGGCATCTGGTGGCTGCCCATGTCAATCTGAGAAGCAAAAAGTGGCCTGATAGGGCACCTATGGGTCCATCCCAGGGGCCACCTGGAGCTCCGGGCCGTGGGGGTGCATCTTGTCACCTGAGGCTCTCTGTTTAGGTCAACACAGAGAGGTTCGAGATGGAGACCAGGGGGGTTAACCACATGGAGGGGGGCTGGCCCAAGGACGTGAACCCCCTGGAGCTGGAGCAGACCATCCGCTTCCGGAAGAAGGTGGAGAAGGACGAGAACTACATCACAGCCATCATGCAGCTTGGCTCGGTAAACTCCTCCAGCCCCTTCCTGCCAGGCCTCACCTGCCGCTTCTGTCGTGTGTGTGTGTGTGTGTGTGTGTGTGTGTGTGTGTGTGTGTGCGCGCACTTCCTCTGGGGGAGAGACAGATGCTGACCTTAGGGAGTGTCTATCTGGGGACAAAGCTGCAGACGGGCACACGAGGTAGTGAGATCCAAGGGTGGAGGGCACTGTAGGAGAATCCTAATGAGTGGGAGTCCCTGAGCGATGCAGGTGGTTGGTGCACTCGGCTGCAAACTGAAAGACTAGAAGTTCAAGTCCACCCAGAGGTGCCTCAGCAGAAAGACCTGTGGCCTGCTTCCACGAAATCAGCGGTGGGAAACCCTGCAGAACACAGTTCTACTCCTGTACAGGCGGGGGTGTCAGAAGGTGGAACTGGCAGCGGGCCATGGCGTGCAATATGGGTGACTCTTTGGGCAGGAGACTCCCAAGGGACCCCACCCAGTAGCTTCCAGCTCATAGGAGTCATCATCCAACTATCCATCCATCTGTCCATCCAACCATCCATCCATCCGTCCATCCGTCCAACCGTCCATCCATCCATCCGTCCATCCATCTGTCCAACCATCCCTCCCTCCTGCTATCCATCCATCCATCCATTCATCCATCCGTGTATCCATTTGTCCATCCATCCATCCGTCTATCCATCTGTCCAACTATCCATCTGTCTGTCTATCCATCCATCCATCCATCCATCCATCCATCCACCTATTCATCCATCCATCCATTTGTCTCTTCTTCCATCCATCCATCCATCCATCCATCCATTCATCCATCCATCGTCTATCCATCTGTCCATCCATCCATCCATCCATCCATCCATCCATCCATCCATCCATCCGTCCATCCATCTGTCCATCCATCCATCTGTCCAACCATCCATCCCTCCTGCTATTCATCCATCCATCCATCCACCCATCCACCCATCCATCCGTCCAACTGTCCATCCATCCAACAAATCTGAGCTGAGCTTCTAGTCTACCAGGCACATTAAGCAGTGACTTTCAGACATTCCCCTCCCTGTCTCGTCCTCCCCCATGTAGGTCCCAGGCTGTAAGGTTCCTACAGGCTTTGCCCCAGAAAGGTTTGTGCTCCTTTGGTAACCCAATGGCTGCCTGTTGAACCCACCCACGTGTGCCCTGGAAGGGAGGGCCTGGGACTTGGTTTCCATGAAGGTGACGCCAAGGGAACCCCGGCGAGCAGTCCACCATCTACACCGGGCTGCTGAGCCAGGACACACTCTTTGCTCCCCGTGCTGCTCTGTCGCACGCCCTTTAGTGTTTCGCCCCGTGTGGTGGGGTCAGATGGGGCACAATTCCCATACTGCGTCTCCAGTGTCCCCCGTAGCGCTATGGGTCAGTGAGGGACATCGTGTCTGGTGGTGGGGCTGGCCCTATGGTCCTCTCTGTGCATTGGCTGCTCTGAGCCGGAGTGTTATCCTGGGGGCTTGGTGGGCCGGGATGAGCTCCACTCTCTCTCCTTCCCTCTTCATCTGCTCCTGATCAGCAGTGCCCCTCTCCTTGAGCTGCAGCTTCAGCACTCTCCTCTAAAGTGCATTGCTGCATGGATGTCTGCTCTTTCCCCATAAGAGGAGGACCACTGCTCAGCCCTGTACGTGTTCGCCTTCTCAAGGGCAAAATCACCTCTGTTGAGATTCCATGGGTTGGAAGGATGGGAATTGCCCGCTAGCTGTTTCTTCCAGACTCCGCTCCAGCCCTAGTCAGCCTGGAAGGACCGCCCTTTATAGGTAAGCTCAGGCAGCGTGTCCTTCCCAGATCATGGAGCACTGCATCAAGCAGAACAATGCCATCGACATCTACCAGGAGTATTTTGATGATGAGGACCCAATGGAGGTGACGGACGAGGCCCCTTCGGCTAAAACCATCAATGTCTTCAGGTACTGCGATCGCTAAACAGGTGTGGGGTGTGGGCAGGTAAAGTCATCACCTCAGAGCCATGGGCAGAGCTCTCTCTGTGCCCAAACCTGATAAGGGACCTGCCCATTCAGTGTCCAGGGGAGAAAGCCTAACTCTGGATGGGGATCTGGGGCTGGGGGAAGTGAAGGGAATTTGCAGCGAGGTGTAGGGAGAGAAAGAACAAGTCCGTGTTCAAGGGACTCCGGAGAAGTACGGGCCCTTGTTGGGTGCCACCCGGCGGATTCTGACTCCAAGTGCACCTGTGTCCAGCACGCTGAAGCCCTGTACAGTCCCATGCTGTCCTCACCACAGCCATTGAGCCTGTTCTCACAGCCAGTGTGTCCCTCCCGATGACGTGTCCCAACGGTGATCTGAGGGTCATTAGGGTCTTTCTCTTTGGGGCTGACTTCCTGCTTACTATGCACCATGTCCTTCTCCAGGGACGGGCTCCTCCTGATAATACGTCCAAAGAGGCTTTGTCTCACCATCCTGTCTCCTAAGGAGCTTACTGACTGTACTTCTTCTGAGATAGATTCATCCCATCTGCTCTCCCGGTGCTCCGTCCGTGTCCCTTGTCAGCACCCTGATCCCAAGGCACCGGTCTTGTCTAGTCTCTCTTCATCCCTGTCCAGCTCTTGCATGCCCACCAGATGGTTGAAAACCCTATGGCTTGGGTCAGGTGCCCCTGTGCCCTCAAAGCGGCATCCTTGCTTTTTAAGACGTTAGGCAGATCTTTCGCAGCAGATTTGCCCAGTGCAAAGCCTGGCTTGGTTTCTTGACTGCGGCCTCCAGACTTTTTCTAGCTTACTTGGGCCTGTCATCGGGAGGGGCTCATGACTGGGGAGGGACCGCATGCTCAGGAAGAGTAGTGTTCGTGACAAAGAAGAAGACCCTCATTGCGATGGATTGACACAGGGGTGCAGCAGTGGGCTCAGACATAGCTACTCTTGTTGAGAGGGCACAGGCCTGGGCGATGTTTTGTTCGTGATTCATGATTCAGAAGTGTATGAAGGATGCTCACAATTGTACCAGTGAGCGATGCTCAGGGTGGAGTTGTTTGTCAGGATGTATTTCAAAGCTCTTTCAGGACTGGGAACAGAGGCCCAAAGGGGCCTATTGCTCCACTGTAAGCCTCAACCCAAAGGCATTCGGCTCAAGCTCTGTGGGTCAGCAAACCCAGTTCCTTGAATTAAGTGCCCAGAAACACCCCACTCCAGTAAGCCTCAGTCCAAAGGCACTGGGCTCCACTTTCACGGGTCAGCAAGACCAACTTCCCCAATTAAGCGCCCAGAAGCACCCCACTCCGCAAGCCACCCTCCCGCACAAAAACACCCATCTTAACTTGCCCCGTGGGGTGGGAAGTCCGTCACTCTGCTCCACGCTCTGGCTCCTGGGTCCGCTGCGCTGCTCTGATGCTGCAGCTGCCATCTGGATCCAGGAGGCTCACTGCGCAGGGATGTCGGGTCGAGAGCCTGAGCGCCACTCCTGGCTCCCGCTGGTCATGAGATCCCTCCTCCTGCTTCTCAGAAGGCTCATTTTATGCCCAGCAGGATGGTATTCCCGGGAATCTTGCTCACAATTACAAGTGAATCCCATCCGTATTTCCCCCCACCTTCTTTCCAGACCCACGCAGGGGAGGGTCGTTTGGTGGGGGTCGGAGACTTTGGCTAGAAGAGCCATGTTCAATAATTACTGTCCCCACCCCACCTTCAGGGGGAACCACATCGGTGGTTATTCTTCGACCCGTTTCTGGACTTCAGCCACAGTTTCTTCATTCATTAAGGTCAACCGTCTTCCCACCCAGCTCATCTTTGAGATCTTCCCAATCTTCCTGAAGACACGCGGTGGACGTACAAACGCGTTTGATGTGCGGCAGCATCCCCATGAACTTGTTGAAGGGTTCCAATTATTTGGGGCGATCGCCACTGGAGTTTTGTTAAAATTAGCCCCGATCTCAGAGTCGAGTTTTTTACGTAGCTGGAATGTTGTGAAGGTTCCAAGGCAAGAGTATTACCGAGGGAACCTGTCTTTAGCCATCCACTGACCGCAAAGGCACGTGTAAGCCCTTTTTGGTTTGAAGACACCCGTGTAGGCACGCACCGTGTAGGCAGCACCGTGTAGGCAGCACCGGAGCTGCAGTAGCGAGACCTTCTCACTCACCCTAGGTGTTCGGTTGGGTGTCCAGAGAAACAAACCGGTGACCCTCATCCATGCATGAGGAAGGACTTTTTACCAAGAAGCAACTTCGTAGCAAGAAGGCATCCCAGCCCAGGCCACCTCCCAAGTCCGTGGGTCCGATGCTAGCCCTCTTCACACTCAAGGAGCTCAGGGGGGCGGACGCGGGAAGGAAGGAGGCCACGGGCCAGAGGGTGCAGACTGGCATGGATCCCAGGTCGGCAGAAGCATGGCAGGGTGCTGGCCAACAGCTCTCAGAGCTGGGTGCCCCACGCAGAGCCACCCTGGAGGCAGGCACAAAGTACCAGTGAGGATGAGGGTGAGAGGCAAGAGAGGAGCAGTTGCCAGTGTCCCCCCCCTTTTATACAAAGACCACACCCTCAGGGAGATGCCATCAGGCTACTGCTTGATTGACAGGTTGGGCTCCGCCCCTACTTCCACACAGGTATCATCAAGTTGACATCAAATCGAACTTCCACACTGTCCTATATAGACAGAGTCCCTAGCTCTCTGTGTGTCAGAGCTGCCCCGGTGGCACCTCAACACGCCACAAGAGAGTTGGAACCAGTTACAGAATCCCAGGGAGCCAGCAACACTGTGGGCCAGCTGCCCTCTGTCCTGGCACCTGTGGGCTGTGAGGACAGGAGTGTAGTGCCCTCCCCCGGTAAGGTAGGACCAGCTCTGGGCCAGGCCGACCTGGGCTTGCTGAGCAGAGAGCAGGACTGACAGCACAGGTGGGGTGTAGAAGAGGGGTCCGTGAGGGTAGGGGCTGCCCTTCCACTGCCCCCAGCAGGGGTCTGATCTCATGTGGGGAGTCTGCCAGCAGGCTGGTACATTAGAAGCCCTCCCACCCAAGATCTACACCGTACAGGTGAAGGAACAGCTCCCCGGGTGGGGAGATGCTCAGAGTCACGTGGTGGGTAGGGCCAATCGAGGTTCCCGGAGCCCTGCTAGCCCTGGTGGCACAGTGGCTACACATTGAGCTCTTCACCTCAAGGCCAGCAGTTCAAAGCCCCGTGTCACCCCATGGGAGAAAGACGAGGCTTTCTATTCCCGTGAAGAGCGATAGTCTCAGAGACCCACAGGGGCAGTTCCCCCCTGTCCTGTAGGGTCGTTAAGGGTCGGCATCCTCTCAATGGCAGTGTGCTGGGTTTTGTGCTCAGAGGGCTCCCTAAGAGGGGCAGACGAGAGACTTACTGCCTTCACTCCTCTCAACCCTGCCTTCCTTCGAGGAGAACGTCTTCATTTGGGGCTCCTCTGTCCTAAACGCTCTTCCAACTCTTACTCAACCCCCCACCTCTTGTCCATAACGGGGAGAGCACTGTTGGGGCACGACACGTTCTGTGGGTGCCAAGGGTGGGCTCCACTGCTCTCGCTTCCAGCGTCCCCTTCTTATTGATGGCTGGTGAGACTGGGCTTTCCAGTTACGGGAGCCCGTGAAGTCTGCTTTTGAAGTTAAGCTTCTCCGAGTGAGTGATGGCTTCAACATATCAGAATGTTTGCAAGGAAATGGTTAGTAAATCAGAAATGGTGACACGGTGAATGGTTTGTGCCTGTGTTGGTGCGACCATTAAAAAATGTAAAAAGGCCAAAAATAAATAAATAATGTAAAAAGCCGGCGGGAGGGTGGGGATGGGGAGACATTTGGAGGCAGGGCGCCCTGGTGGTGCTGTGGTCAGGTGTTGGTCTGCTAACAGCAAGGTCAGCACCAGCGGCTCCTGAGAGAGAGATGAGATTTGCTGCTCCGGTAGAGTGATCCTCTTGGAAACGCACATGGGCAGTTCTGCCCTGTCTGATAGGGTCATCACGAGTCAGAAGCAGCTCGATGGCAGGGAGTTTGGGATGGGTTGGCACTTCAGTAGAAGAAGGCCCTGGTGCTTCGTGGGTGAGGAGCTGGGCTGCTAACTGCAAGGTTGGTGGTTGGAACCCACCAGCAGCCCTGAGGGAGGAAGACGAGGCTGTCTACTCCCGGGTGCTGTGGCTGGGTTTCGGTACCACTTCAGCCCTACGCCCTTTTTGTTCTCCCCTAAAGGGACCCCCAGGAAATCAAGAGGGCAGCCACGCACCTCTCCTGGCACCCGGATGGCAACCGGAAGCTGGCTGTGGCATACTCCTGCTTGGATTTTCAGCGGGCACCTATGGGCATGAGCCTCGATTCGTACATCTGGGACATGGGTGAGAGTGAGGGATATGAAAGTGGGGGGAGGGGGCCTGAGGGTAGAGGCAGGGGCCAGCGAGAATGGGTTGTGTGTAGAGATAGGAGTGGAAGGTCCTGGAAGTGTTGTCTGTCCCAAGGAGAGGCCCGGGGCCAAGGAGGATGTCACTTGTCTCCTTTGCTCCCTGTCGGGGTTCAAGTGTAAAACCCACAGAGCCGACTCAGAAGGGGCAACTGACCTTCATTGCCAGACCCTTGGTGAGGGCATTAACAAGCAGACCCCCGGTATCCCCAGCCTTACTCCCTGAAGAGCTCCCAGCAGACAGCAGGAAGCCCAAGCGAAGGGCAAGAGGGCCTTCCCCTCTCCTGTCCCTCCTCTCCTGACACTTGCCTATAACTTGTGGCCACCAGGGTGGTGGGTACACTTGGGAGCAGAGACTACTGTTTACCGAAAGACGCACCCTGAGAGTCATCACCTGGGCAGGTACCAGTGAAGGTGGCATGCCCCACACCGACTGTCCTGGTATCGGAATGGAGGTCAGCTATAATTAGCAGGTGTTTACCTCTTAGTAGGTGGAGGTGCCAAAGCCCCACCGCCCCACGAGGCAGGCTCCACCGTCGCATTACCGGTGCGCACAGATGAAGACCATGGCTTAGAGAAGCGAGCGCAGAGTTCTCTTCATGTAAAAATCCTGAGAGTCCAACACTTGTTTCACACCAATCCTGGGAGATGGATCGGAAATATCATGGAAGCATCAAGATACACCCACCCCGATCCAATCATCAAATGGAACCGAGGATGTGCAGTGATGGTCCCAGGGGCCAGAGGCTGTAGCCTGCAGAAAGAGGGGAGGGTCTTCCAGACTTGCCCCTGGCCTCCCTCCCTCACCTGCTCGTGCGGGAGGGGTTAAAATGACCCCTCTGTCCTTTCCCCCTTTTCTTTCCAGGCCTCCTGGGACTTATTTTTCCCCTCCCTTCTTTATAGAAAACCCCAACAAGCCCGAAACTGCTCTGAGGCCATCTTCCCCGCTCCTCACCTTGGAGTACAACCCCAAGGACTCCCACATCCTCCTCGGCGGCTGCTACAACGGGCAGATTGGTAAGGAGGGCGCCCGGAAGGGAGGTGACCAGACCACCCAGCACCCTGTCAGGCTCTGAGGCAGCCCCAGCCCCTGCGGCTGCCTGGGTCAAGCCCACATGCCAACCTGGGCACAGAGAGGTGGAAGCGGGGAGATGGGTCAGGATAGCCCACAGCTAACGACTCCAGAGGCCCAAGGGAGTCGAGGTGTACCTCCAGCTGGAGCGGCTCCAGGCTAGAATTCGTTCAGAAGAAAGAGTCCCACTAAAGTCAACAAACGCTCACCGTGCACCGCGCAAGGCCTGCCTGATGCTAAGGCCAGAGGCGGTGAGAGCCAATCCCTGTCCTCGGGAGCTCAGTCGTGGGGAACCAGCAACCATCCTTCCATGGTCACTGAGCTTAAGAGGCACAGAGGTGGAGCCTGCAGACGATGTTGTGTCTCCGGTGAAGGGGAGGTTGGCGGAGCATGGGAGCAGCCTGGGAAGGCTTCGCTGGAGGAAGCAATGCTGTCCGGAGGAGGAATGCAGGAAGAGGGCATGCCAGGGGTTGAACCGGAAATTCTCCTAAGTTTGGACCCTGCACTGTCTGCACAGTCCCAGAAGGTTGGGCTGGCCGATGGGCAGGGGTCAGACCCTAACGAACCCTAGGTGTCAAAGGAAGACCCTCCAGTCAGGCAGAGGTCACAGGCTGGCCGCTGCTGGCCGCACTGCGGCGCCCTAGCCTGTCCCAGAATGCCTGCGTGGAGCTCCGTGAGCTGCTGGGAGGCAGCGATCCACGTGTGCCATACCATTTGGCAAGTTTGGGCCATTCTTCCTTCAGATGTCTGCCTCTCTCGCTCTCACCTCTCCGTCCAAGACTCCCCTGGGGCATACGCGGGTCCATCTCTTGGTGCCCCACAAGCAGGTCTCCAGGTGGTTTGATTTCCTTCGTCATGCTCCCTTTGCTCTTGTCAGTTGCTTTCTAACGAGGCCACGGCTTCTCCTGCCCCCCAGACCGGGAGCTGCTCTCCTGGGGATCGCCGCCCTTCTTCGTTTCCACTTCCGGTTCATGTCTCACTTATGAATTCTGTTTCTTTACCGGACCATCTCGAGCTGACGTGGCATTGTTCTCACACTTTCCTCCAATTCTTTTTTTTAAAAATCACGTGATTGGGAGCTCGTACAGCACTTAACACAAGCCGTGCACCCATCGTGTCAAACACATTTGTACCCATGTTGCCATCATCATTCTCAAGAGATTTTCTGCTACTTGAGCCCTTGGTATCTGCTCATTTCCCCCATCCCTCACCCCCTCCCTCCCTCATGAACCCTTGATAACTTATAAACATTTTCTTTTCATGTCTTACACCGACCGCTCTCTCCCTTCACCCACATTTCTGTTGTCCGTCCCCCTGGGAGGGGGTTATATGTAGATCATTGTAATCAGTGCCCCCTTTCCCACCACTCCCCCCCCTTCCCCTCCCAGTATCGCCACTTTCGCCACTGAAGGGTTCATCTGTCCTGGATTCCCTGTGCTTCCAGATCTTATCTGTACCCATGTACGTGCTCTGGTCTAGCGGGATTTGTAAGGTAGAATTGGGGTCATGATAGTGGGGGAGGGAGGGCAGCATAATTAAAAAAAAGAACTAGAGGGAAGTTGTATGCTTCAGCGGTGCTTTACGGTACCCTGGCTGGCTCGTCTCCTCCAATTCTTCAGACATGGTTTCCTTGACTTCCTTGAAAAAAAGTGTTAAGACAGCCGTTTTGAAGTCTTTGCATGATAAGCCCAATATCTTGGCTTCCTCGGCGACGACTCTCGTGATTTATTTTCTTGTCCCCGGTGTGTGAGTCAGTCGTATTTCGTTCTTGGCATGTTTAACGTCTCTTCGAAAGCTGTGCGTTTCCAGTACACGACGTGCTAACTCTCAAAGCCAGATCCCCGGTCCTCCCCAGGCTCGGCGGCCAGATCCTCAGTCCTCCCCAGGCTTGGCGGCCAGATCCTCGGTCCTCCCCAGGATCGGCGGCCAGATCCTCGGGCCTCCCCAGGCTCGGCGGCCAGATCCTCGGGCGTCCCCAGGATCGGCGGCCGTTGCTGTTGCTTTACATAATGCGTTCTCCGAACTAATTCGTAAAGTCTGGACTCTGTCGTGTGTGGTCATGGAAGTCTCTGCTGGGCTAGCGTGGTGGTCATTGGGCCATGGGACAGAGGGTTCCTTGCACCGGGGGCCCAGGTTCCCCCGGGCTCTGCTGAGAGTGCTGTGAGCGTGCTAGGGCATACCTTCCTTCCTCAGCCCGGCTGTTGGCAATGTTGCCGCAGCCACTCTGTAGTCTCAAGGTCAGCCAGAGGTGGGAACGTCAGGGCTTTGTCAGGTCTTGCCCAAAGCACACACCCTGGGTCCTACACAAAACCCTTCCCCTGCTCGTGGCCCTCGAGACGCCCAAGAATATGTCGGAGCTGTTTGAAGCTCCGTGGTCATCCCCTTGTGCACATTTTCCACGGCAGCTTCTTGGTGACCTCTTTGTGTGGCCCTCTTGTGACCTGCCACCGCAGGCAGCCACAAACTGGCTCCATCACCGACAGTTGTTTTCAACCCAGGGGGAAGGCTTTTCGGACCGCAGGGGCTCAGAACCAAGCCCAATCTGGACAATTTTGCAGGAGGGTCGTCCGAGGAATCACCAAAACCCCAGAGCCAAACTCACCACCACTGAGTCAATGCCGACTCCCAGCGACCCTACAGGACAGGGTAGAACTGCCCCATGGGTTTCCGAGACTGGAGCTCTGTGTACGGGAGTCGCAAGTCCCATCCTCCTTCCTCGGGAGCCGCTGATGGTTTCAAACTGGCTGACCTTGTGGTCAGCAGCCGAGTGTGTAACCACGACGCCACCAGGGCTCCTTAAGGAGCCACCGGCCATGCCGACTAGTGGCAGTTCTCGGGAATGAGACTTTGGAAAGGCTCTGGCCACGGTGTGCCCCACCCCCACCCAGGGACTGCCAGGCTTTGGCCCTAGGAATCCTGAGCTGTTACTTTTCAAGGCTACCACGGAGCTGGGGAGTGGGGATGAGATAAGGGGAAGTTACTAATTTTACCAAGGAGCGGCTGTTTCTCTTGAGTAAAGGGTTTCCGGGTTGCTGTCAGCGTTGGCTACCTGCCCTCGTGTGAGGGCGAGAGTGACCGCCGTGCTTTCATGCCCAAAGTGGCAGCTTCATGTTCTCAGAGCTCCAGGGCTATTACAACCCCAAAGGATGCAAGCCCAGAGACATGGCACGACATCGAGGCTGGGTCACGGAGCTTCCAAGTCTCCTAGAGAGGATTCACTCCCCTCTCTTGTCTTATTATCACCAACCAGGAAGCACGGGCAGGGCCTCGGGGCTCAGGGCCCCTAATGGCCTCACCACACGGCCCTGATAAATGGCTGCCCAATGCCTCACCTGGCCTGCAGGGGTATCTCAATGTCTGGCTGGTCCAGCTCATGAGCCACAGGTAACAGCTGTGGCTTTTGATTCCCTAATGCCCTTAGGAGAAACCTGCCCACATTGGCCCTGCCCACAGTTCCTGCCTGCCCTCCTCCCAGAGTGCTGGCACAGCCAGACACCTGTCCTGCCCCAACTGGCCAGGTTTGTCTTTAGGCATAAGAAGGGCCCCCTGCCCCCCGCTCCCCTGCATTCTCCTCCATCTTCATCCCCTTCATCCGGGAACAGGGATGGCAGGTGTCTCAGCCCGCCGCTGCGGCCGTGTTCAACAGCAGTACCACAAGGGTGACTTGAACAGGCAGACGTTATTTCATCATTTAGGGAGCGAGGAGCCCAAATTCAGGGTGCTGGCTCCGGAGTTCTGGGGAAGGCCACCGTCTCTCTTCCTGGGCCCCGTGGCGATGTTGAGGTGGCGTGGCATGGCAGCTATCGGCCCTCGTCTCGGCTTGCTTCTTCCTAATCCGATCTTTTCTCTCTCCTCAGAGAGCCATTTGAGACTCATTCGCCCAAGACAGAAAGCCCCATTCCCAAGCGGGTTTATAGTCCTGGTATGGGGAATGAGATCTGCAGTGTGTATTTGGGGGGTGGGACGGGCACAATTCAATCCCTAACAGCGAAGAACCTTCGCCGTGGCAATCCTGTGGCCAGGCTACCTCTGGTCTCCATATCTTCTCAGACGCCCGCTCGCTCCTGCCCGCTCGCTCCTACCGGGGGTGGCTGGGGAGGGCCGGTGTAGAGATGGCATCCCCCCTGCTGTCAAGGTGATGTTGACTCAGAGCGACCCTATAGGACAAGGCAGACTTGTCCCTGTGAGTTGCCAAGACTGTCACTCTTTACGGGAGCAGAGAGCCTCCACTTTCTCCACCCTTTCCTCTGTCCCGAGTGGCTGGAGGTTTCAAAGGGCTGACTTGAGGTTGGCAGCCCCACGCATAACCACCGCTCTGCCACCTAGGCTCCTTGGAGCAGAGATGGATCCAGGGCACTGCCGTGGGAACGATGGGGTTCCGAGATGGTAACTGTTGACAGGAACAAAGAGCCCAGTCTTTCTCCCGAGGAGCTGCTGGTGGTTTCGAACTGCTGACCACGCAGATCTCAGTCCCCTGCATAACCACGACACCACCGGGCTCCTCTGGAGTAGCAAGGAGCTCCCCTAAGCTTCCCAGCCAGATGATCTGGGCCCCAGCACCAGGGGACCTGGGACCCAGCCTCAAGCTAAGAATACCCCCCCCCCCCATACACACACACACACACACACACACACACAAGCCAGGCTAGTCCAGCCTGGGGAAACATTAGGTAAATATTCGATGACCATTGTTGTTTGACAAGAGTAGCTTTTCCTAGAAATCAAGCTGAGTAAGAGGGGACCCTTGCTGTGCACTCGGAGGAGGGTGAAGACAAAAGGCAAGCAGGCCAGAAGACAGCTGCCGGTGATCTTGTCTGGCAGCACAGGGAAGCCCTGGGGTGGACCAGTGCAGAGGGCCAAGCCTGCTCTAGGGCAGCGGTTCTCAACCTGTGGGTCACTCAACCTGTGGGTCACGACCCCGATGGTGGGTCACATGACCCT